ATATCTGCCTTCAGTGATATAAAAAGCAAAGAGATTGACTTGACAGAACCCTACATTTTAGCTACTTTTGTTGGCTTGGGCCTACTCCAAATAGCACCACTATTATGTGAAAGTAAAGTAACATTAAGTTCTGCATTCAAAAGTGCAGCTAAGTGTGAAATCCAATTGTCATATTTGAAACTTACTCCTAAATTAATGCTACTACATAACAACAGGCAATTTAAGATGAAATGCATTTTTATGACAAAAATGTAACATTTACGGCTTGAGTCAGGGTAATGAATTTGGTTCACCCTTACTTACGGAATTATAAACCATTCAGGATCTCAGAGGAAAGGAACCAGAAAATTACTCTATTTCTTCAGTTCCAGGCAAGATAATTTTCTGTTCATTCCAATTAAATGTTTTTGTTAACTCCCAAGTTTAAGCTATTTAAATTAGATGACTCAATTTTATATATAACTGGCTATATTTAATAAAATGAATCTCACTTGCATTTGTTAAATGACAATTAGGCTGAGTTGTACAAACCCCCAAATTTCCTTCTCAGGATAACCCATCAATGTTTATGGGAAAAACTTGTTCTTAGATGTTTTAATGCTTTGCTGAAGTGGGAAGTTCATAGTCTGATTGATCTTGATACAAAACCATCTACCATTGTAAAGGATTCTTTGTATATCCCATTTTAATAAAGTGACAAAAATGGAGCAAACTTCAGGACTGGATCCAATACTATAAACATAAATCTCATTTTCAGTCATAGAATTAAAGTCTGGCATTAAAAAATCTGAGAAATAATCATTTTAATTGTGCAAACAGCACATGTGCTATATTCTCCATAATTACACTTTTAGACATAAATTCCCTCAACAATTCTTCATTAAGTAGAATTTTTTTTTAAACTGACTTGACCTTTGCAACCTCTTAATACCATCAGAATCTTAAAAAAGAATGAGCAGAGGACAGCACTGAGTTATAGGAGACTGGGGAACTGAGTAAACCTACATAAGATGTTTTAACTCTTTTTGTCCCCTACAGGTCATACACTGTTTAAGGAGTTTTCATGAATAATAGCTGTGGTAGAAGTGAAGATCTGTACCTACCAGCATGATGAATACCCACAGCTGTAATGTTACCTAGTGCCCTTAGTTTTTCAGTTTATAAAATTAATACCTGACTTATGAGTTTAGCCAGTGTTAACAATGACAAATTACAACAGAATTAACAAAATAATTGGGAGTACTAGTTATATGTTTAACATTTACATTTTCTTTATTTACACTAAGTCCTTGACCTTCATAATCATAAGCACTTTGTGGCTAGCCAGCTCAGGGGTCATACTTGTGAAATCAGAAACTGAATTAAGGCACTGTGTAAATCCATTAATACATTTGATCCCATGACAGCTACTTTGCATCAGAAAGCCACCAAATACACGGCATTCACTACAACAGGTTAGTAAATGTGAATCAATCTGCAAGACTGGTTTCAGATGGGAAAGAGTAAAAGTTTTTATCCCAATCCATATGTAATAAATATAGTAGGGGGTATGCTTAAGTTAGTCTTTAAAACAAGCTTAGTTAGTGTTTTCACACACTGAAATCTATAGAGAGGGTCAGAAACGAACAAATAGTAATTTACCTCTCTCCAGACATCTCAACTTGCCAAATGCAGAGAATCAAAAAACTAATTCTGTAATAGTTTACTAACTATTCTTCCCTGACACCAACATTAGATTTGTAGTATAATTTGCTTCACTGTGCCTGTAGTATATAATATACTATGAGCTACAGATTACAGATTTATAATAAACAATGGAATGGTCCTGTGGCTCAGGAGTCTGAATAGCAACATTTAAAACTGCCTTCCCTACCTTATTTATTTATTTTATAATTTTACTATCAATCACTATTATTGAGTTGTTTAGTATAGCTGTGTCTAACTTTTATTTATAACTTTAACACTAAGCATAGTCCCTGGCACACACACATAGAGGTTTTCAATAAATGATTCCTGAATACATGAAAGATTACCCACTGTATTTTCTTATGGTGGACTTACTATCATTTGACTTGAAACTTCACTGAATAATATAGAGACAAAGGACAGTCTTGTTACGTAATTGCTACACAAATGGATTAATAGCTAAAACAAAAAAAAAGCCAGAAGGTTTTCCAATCTAAAACAGGATACATTTGATACATTTTTTAAAAGGAATGTGTAAATAAGCAAGAATTTTTAATTTTCTTTTTTACTATGAATATACCAGAACATTGTTCCTGGGTGAAAATTCACTTTTGAGCCATTAAACATTTTTGAAAAATGAAATATGAAGTGTCCCACAAAATCTCATAATTCCCTTTACCATGAATTCTGAGTGTATATGTGTCTTTTCATATGGCATTTCTTTTCTTTCTTTGTTCTATTTCTATGTTTACTGCTCAATGTCCCATTTGTAATCATTGAAAGCTTCTAATATTCCCTGTTTGCTAGTTTCTAATTTCCACTGACATTGGTTCATTATCCACCCTAAGACAGATGAAATCCTCAAGAATACCAGCTACAGTTCAAAATGGATCAGCAAATACTTTTCCAAACCACTTTTAATGATTCTATAAGGAGTGGACTTGCAATAATTGAATCTTGACAATTCTTTGACATCTTTCAGAACAATCTCTTAACTAGGACTTATACAAACAAGCAAAAGATACTGGCACACCACCAAGTAACATTTTCCTTTCTTCTCCTTTATCTGCTATAATAACTGACAATCATTTATGGCCTTCATAAATATCTAAACAAAAATTTTTGAGGCGTAATAGTGTTTTGAACAGTGCAATACATAAAATATTTGCCATTTGTTAAGTGAAAAGGTGAGAGAGTTTTAGTTTGGACTGAACAGTGAATGAAGGATATTTAGCTAAAATGAAATGGTAAGAGAGAATTTTCAGGTTAACAATTATATTTGGTTTTTCATATGCTAGTAAATTGTCTCAACACTAACTCAACATAGACCTCATTACTCACTGAATGTCAGGTGATAACTATCAGACAAGGTTTGTTATGATTTATGAGTTATTGTACGAGCACACAACCATGGAAATGTCATTGAAAGAATATCAATCCAGAACTGCAAAATCATGATTGATACTTTCAGATCTGAAATCAACCCTCGGAGTGTGGGTAGTTCTATTCCCTTATTTCAAAAATGTCAAAACCCAAATCGAGGGGGCGGGGTCTGTTCAGGGCCACAAAGTCTAGTGAATTAATTTGCAGCTGAACCTATGTTAACTGCATCAGACTCCTATGCCAGGGTGCTCCTCATTTTACTGTCTAGCAATAATATAGATAAGGCATTGCTGCTACTTTATAAAATTAGCTCTCTGAAAGCCTTAAATATTTGCATATATTTAAAGATACTGCAAACAAACCAGTTACACCACCAGGAAAAAAGCCATTTTTTCCCCATGAGATACTGGTCTTAAACCTTACTCTGAACAGACAATAAGAGCCAAACTGAACGGTGATATTGATGCCTATAAAACTGTTCTTGCTTACTAGCTGGTTATGGACATAAAGTTTCATATAAAAATTAAAAATCCAGATTTCATGTTTTCATCCACTGAGGCTGACTGAAGACACTAGACTAAGTCTTTCAAAGGTTGCCTTTAGTAAGAGAGTTGATAGATAAAACATTACAGTGTATTTCTAACTTCCATATTTAATAAGTGGCATTTATGTAATGTGCCTATACAAATATTGTAAGGGATTTTTTTTCTACTTTGCCATTCCTCCAAAGTGAAAGGTGTGAAAGGTTATGGGATCGCACACAGGGATATATCATGATTATTTTTATGGGAAATTTTTAACGGGGCATCTTTCTAAGAGAAAGGAACTTATTTTTCACTATTTTGATGTCCACAATCTTTTACTTTGGAGGCAAATTAGCAACATAAGGTAACACAGCAAATACTGGAAATGAAGAAATTTACGATGGCAAAATGCTTTACTGGGATGCTCTGTTGTGGAATGGTCTCCATCAGCTAAGAACATTTCCCAAATTGCTTTAAAACACATTTCAATGGCAAATTTTACAGTTTGCTATTAGTAGGCTGTTTACAAGTATACAGAACTTTGTGTGAACACCGCTTATATTGATATAGTCAAGAAATATATTTCATGTTAGGAGTAATATGTGTTGGTAGGTACAACAGAACTTATTAAAACCCAAACCACCTTAAAGATGGGCCTGTAAACCTTGCTTTAGTAGGTTACATCCTCAAATAGCCAAAGAAAACTCTCCAAAGTGATTCCTGAAATCTGTGCTTTTGCCACACTCTCTTCCTCTCTTCTTTCCCCAGTAGAGTCCCTTCCATTAGACCTTACCTTCCTAAATCCTGCATATCTTACTTTGAAGCTCAAGTATACACTTCTAACCTGCCCAAATTTCTAACATCATCTCTCTGTAAATATTCGACTTCAAGTTTCTACACTGCAGGATGTTGAATTTCACCAAAGGGGTTTTACTCCTTTATTTCTTTGGCCTTTGCTCTTTTATCTCCCCCCCGCCTTTCTCCATCGGTCCCCCTTCCCTTATCCTTGACTCTTTTGGTCCACAGCAGTTTTACCTTGCCTCCTCTCTCTTCAAAATCACAGCTCAGCTTCCTATAGCACACTAAGGTGTCCTGGCTGGGAAAGAAATTATGTGGTATTTTTTTTTTCCCTTCAACTCCTGCCTCTTGAGTACCTGCAATTCTTTGGCCTTGGGACCCCCCATCCTTTACGGGTGGGAGACGTAGGGAAGGCCCTCTCGGCTTCAGTCCATCTTGCACACTAAGGGCCAACACGGCGGGGCGGGGCGGGGCGAGCTTGGCCTTTACTGCGCCATGGCAGGTGGGGGGTGGGGCAGTGGCGAACCGCGCCCAGCCCGATCTCGGAGGGGTTGAAGAGAGGCAGCGAAGGAGATGGGGCCGCCCCCGCACCCCGGGTCGGGAACTCACCTTCTCTGAGGCAAGGGCGGGTGTCTACTTTAAAACTACTGCCCCCCCTCCCCGCCGCCGCCATTGTGGAGCCGCCAAAGCCGCCGCCGCCGCCGTCGCCAAAGCCACCGGCAGGCGGGCAGGCAGGGGTGGAGGTGGCGGAGGAGGCAGGAACAATTACTGCCGCCGCCGCCGCCGCCGCCGCCGCCGCGCAGGCGGTGTAGGAGGAGGAGGAGGCGGCAGAGACGGTAGCTTCCTGAGGGGAAGACTCCGCCGCCGGCGGGGTGACTGTGTTCGGCGCCGCCGCCATCGCAGCGAGGCGCGCGGACAATTGCACTTGCGTCTGGATTCCGTTAAGCTTCTTCTTTAGCCCCGCCTTCCGTTAGCCCCACCCCTTTACCCCTCTTTTTGACGCTTCAGCTGGAGCCTCGTTCTGGGTCTTCGGCCCACCAATCGGAGAGCTTTAGAGCCACAGGCCGTTTTCCCCTCCCCCACTGCTTGGCGTCACCCCACCTCCCTTTGGAGGGGAAGCAATGACAGCCAAGGGCAAAGGGCAAAAAGCGCGGGATGTAAAAGCACGTGGGCCTCGCACAGTGATGCTGCTTTGGAGAGCTAATCTAAAACCAATTTAAGAGTAAAAGAAAATGTCTGGAAACCTATTGACCCCTCCTCCAAAATATCTCTGAAATATATCTTCACCTGGTTTTCTTAAAGCATTTAGTACAGATAATAGAATAGAATCTTTCATCCTGACACATTGTTTTCTTGGCCTCTTTTTTTTTTTTTTTGAGACGGAGTTTAGCTCTTGTTACCCAGGCTGGAGTGCAATGGCACGATCTCGGCTCACCGCAACCTCCGCCTCCTGGGTTCAGGCAATTCTCCTGCCTCAGCCTCCTGAGTAGCTGGGATTACAGGCACGCGCCACCATGCCCAGCTAATTTTTTTGTATTTTTAGTAGAGACGGGGTTTCACCGTGTTGACCTGGATGGTCTCGATCTCTTGACCTCGTGATCCACCTGCCTCGGCCTCCCAAAGTGCTGGGATTACAGGCTTGAGCCACTGTGCCCGGCTTTCTTGGCCTCTTAAAGGACAGCTTACCTAGCGATCTGTCCATCTTAATTACAATAAATTCCTGTGAATTCAGCACCCAATAGAAGAACTGGAGTATTACTGGTAATTTAAATCTCATTTTGTCCCCCAACCTCCCCTCTCAAAGAAACCAATACCATTATTTATATTTATTATTTATTTGCACTTTAACATATGTTCTTATCACATAGATATGTGCCTAAATAGTATTGTTTAGCTTTGTTTTCAATTTTCACAGAATTTTACATCTTTTTCTAGGTAGCATTCTGGGACTTGTTTCTGCTTTTTTTTTCCCCCTCAAGCAGTACTCCTACCTCACCCTCTGAAGTAGCTGGGATTGGAGGAAGGAGCCATTACACTTGGCCTGGGACTTGTTTCTTTCACTCAACATTTTGTTTCTAAGATTCATCCATGTTGTTGCTTGTAGCTGTAGTTATTCACTGCCAATGCTGTACAATAGATCACTCTTTTCCTTATTGATGGGCACAACTCCTGGTGCATTTGTGCAAGTCTCCCTTAAGTATTCTCTCCCTTCCAGTCTTACTTCCATTGCTGTATTTCAAGTCCTCATTATGTTTGGTGAGAAGTGTGGCACCTACCCCACTGGTCTTGTTTCCTTTTATCTCAGTCCCTCCAAACTATTACCATATTGCTGCCAGTCATAATTGGCTGTCCAGCGCTTATTGAATAAAGTCAAAAGACACAGTTTTGCACTATTAGTTTTCCCACTCACCTCTTTGACCTAATCTCTTTCCACTGTCCCCATCTCTCCTCTCTGCTTTTACCTTGATTCAACAAAGACCTGGGCCTAAAAATCTTCTTCATGGTGCAATGTTATTGTATATGTTCTTCCCTCTTCCGGAAACACCTTTTTCCCCACGTTAGGCACTTGCCTAATGAAATCCTATACTGTACACCCCTAGAAACCCAGACAACACATCGCCTCACCAGGTTACCTGTTCTGTCCTTCCTTAGAGTTAATTTCACCATCTTCTGTGCTAAACCTATATCTGGTGCATATTTTTATTGTAATGAATTATATACTTTGTACTTCTCAATAACCTGGAACTATTTGAGACAAAAGTCCTATTTTCGATGACTCATGCTCCAGCCCAGTAGAGTCCTGGGACAGAAGTTGAAAGGTAGGCATCCCTAGGCCCAGGTCTCTAATTTCCTAGATCTGGCTTATGATGTTTTCTTCTACATACACAATTGTATATTCATGTCCTCATCAATATTTGAAAAGGGTATTTCATGCAAAAAAAAAATCTCTTAACAACATGAAGATTTGGCAGTACTGGCTGTGCATTCCTGAATGGCAACAGTTGGCTAGCGCTAATAACCAATTAGAGAGACATGGAGTGCTGGCCTCTTAAGCACTTACCTTTATGTTGTTTTTGTGGTTCAATGGGTAGTTTCTCTATTCTTCTATCTTGTCCTTCTGTAAGTTAGATCAACTTTTAGTCATCAAGGAGATTACTGGATAGACGTGACACAATAAATAGTCTAGTAGGACAAGGCAAGCATAAAAATGGGGTTTGATTTTATTCCTTCTGATATGGTGGGGGGTGCTCAAAAACATTGTTTTTCAAAATATGAATCACAGTCCACTTATGTAAGAAATATTCAATCGGAATCTATTGGGGAGTGGGCATCACTCAAGATTCAGTCAGAAAAAAAGAAATTACACTAGGTATTTCAACCAGAAAATATTTAATGTAGAATATCAGGTACTTAAAATAATTAGATAGGTTAAAGAAGTAGAATCCAGGAGACTTGCAGGTATGGTCATCTGCCACTTGGAAACTTTTCCGTTCTCTTCTATGTTCTCTCCCTTGTTGCAGAAGCTGGAATCCTATGAATTACATTTCCTAAACTTCTTGTCCAGCAGGATTCTGAATATGGTTTAGGTATCACCAGTGTAAGGTATTCATATAGTATTTTTTAAATAGAAAGGAAATAAAAGCTGTTCTTTATGTGGAATCCAACAGACATAAAAAGTAAATTTCTTCATGGCCCTAGTGTTCTTCTGTAAGTCCTGTACTCAAAGGTTTTGGAGGATCTGTGGGATTACCTGTGGTTTTCTGCAGTTTCCGGACCTGTCTGACAGTAACAACTCTATCAGTCAACACATATATATTAAATTGTGAAATTCTTCCTTCTTGGGATCCATGAAAAATTCTGTCTCTGCTATTTTAACAGTAAAAAGAAGTGGTAGGATAATGTACAGAATAAAATAATTAGTTAATTTTCTCCCCATCCTTCAACTACATTTGCTGACATGCTATAACATGAAAATGCCACCAAACCTCAGTCATGCACTATGACAATAAGCATACACTTCCTTTTTTTTTTTGTCTTATACTTATCATTGCTCTCTAAGACAGTGATGTTATTAAGTGAATCCCAAGATAATTTATCTCACAGGAAAGAGGAGGTAGAATATAGCGGAGAGTAGCAATTAAGGAAAGCCTGCTATGAGCCAGATGTTTCCTAGAATTTCTCAGTCTTCTCACAACAGTGATGTTATATTGAACTCATTAATTCCATTTAAAAATGCAAAACTCAGTCTCATGAGTGTAAATAACTTCTCCATGGTTCTTTACTTACTGATTAAAATGGTCTGTTTATATCATTGACCCACAGGGAGGAGTCTGTATTAATTGCAATGAATTTCAACTACCAATCCCCCAAATCATAGAAAGAAAACAAGGGTGGAAGTAGGGGAGGGAAGCTGGGTCTAAGGTAGAGGCAGAGGTGCTAAAAAAAAATAAAGGAGAATATTTTTGCATATGTGAGAAACTAGCAAAAAACAAAAGCATACCAGAGGTCATTTCACTATATTTACAGTGAAATATAATATATCTCATTTGGAATAATATGGGGAAATTGAAAAGCCATTATCAACAAACACAATACCTTTAAAGGCATCAGAAAATGGGAGAAATAATCCAAACATAATTTAATATCATATAACTAATATGATTGACATAGGAATGAATATGACTAGATAGAACAGTAATGTTTAATTTTATTAACAAATGATTCAAAAGTGAGAAGCAATGGCAAACCTCCAAAGATGTTCAGAAATACTACAATTAAAGACAAATGAATAAACACATTGAGATATACAGATAATTACAAAGGCATTGCCACTTAATACTACTACATTGACAATTAAGTTTCAACATATGAATTTTGGGAAACATACAGACAATAGCAGTATGTATAATATGAATCAATTTTGAACAAAAATGTATTTGCACATATGAACATATGAACATATAGTTTTTGAATTATATATAGACACACATAAAATATATACAGAAAGTATATACAAAAATACTATGAGTAGACAGCCTGTGGTAAGTCAGGCTTAAGATTAAACTATAAGTTAATTAATGCATGTATTTATTAATAGATAAAATTACAGTAGTACAGATATTGATCGACTTACGACCTATGCAACTTACGACCATTCGACTTTATGACCACAATCGCTCACCACGACTGCTCCACATCTGGCAGCGCAAATATTGCCCAGCTGGGCATACGACAGTGCAGACCAGCTTCTGGCAGCACTACCATCTCTGTGTGCACCATTTCAACTATACATATAGCCTACTCAACTTACGACGAAATCGTGTTATGACTGTTCCGTGGTCCCAACCGTGGTGGTAAGTTGGGCACTACCTGTATAAGATGTACCTGGTTGGGAATGGAAGTTACATAAATGTATCTTTATTGATATGAAATATTGTCAAATATGTACATACATTTAAATGAAAAGGAAGTTATACAGAACTTTTATAAAAATAGATCTGCGTATGCCTAATGTATTTGTATCATAGTATACACTTTCATATATTCTCATTCTTGTTCTCTTTTCCTTACTCCCATCACAGACACACACACATCTTATCAGCCTAGAGAGGATCTGAAGGAAATATCCTACCTTGTGATTTAGTATCCAGATCTATGTCAGAATCATTCTTAATGCTTCCTTTCCTATGTAAACATCTAGAGATTTCCATAATGTTCTTACTATTAGATTTTGACCACGGGGAAGTGTTTTCCTTTAATCTAAGCTTCTCCTTTGTAATTGGTTAAAGGACCAACGTGGTCAGGCATTGGTCACTTAATCACTCAATGGAATATGGAGTCAGTGAACAATTTATGACTCTATTTTCTTATGTTTCATGTGCCTTCTTGACCACTGATTTTTGTATTTTATATATTT